AGTAAGCACTCTGAAGTCAGTGGCATAAATGCACCAATTAAAAGACAGATTATGAGGGCGAATCAAAAACAAAACCCACTTTAAATATAAAGACAAATATAGATTAAAAGTAAATGAATTACGCTGCAGCCTGTTTTGCTCAGTGGATAGAGCATTAGCCCATGGACTGAAGGGTCCCAGGTTCGATTCCAGTCAAGGGCATGTACCTCAGTTGCTGGCTTGATCCCCAGTCCCTATCAAAGCATGTGCAGGAGGCAACCAATCAATGTGTCTCTCCCTTTCCCTTCACTCTCTCTAAAATTTAATGGAAAAATATCCTTGGGTGAAGATTAACAAAAACAAAGTAAATGGATTAAGTAACATTAAAGAGATTATAAGAAAAATATATTCCAAATTTTGTTAGTTATATAATGGTTATGTTTAAATTATTAACACCTAAGAAATTGGGTGAAAGGTACATATAATATGCTGTAGTATTTTATAGTTTTTTTACATGTATTAGATTATTTCAAATTAAAATATTAAAAAATTAAAAATTAATAAAATATTAATTGAAATGTGTATGCATTACATGAAAAATCTCCTAATTGCTTCTAGCATAATTTATTAAATTGTGCTAAAATTTACAAGGGTTCAATTAAAAAATATCTTAATTCTAAATGATATAATACAAAATATATAATAGTGCAGTTATAAGCATTTATCTGAAAATAAAAATTTAAAGAAGTGAATTTAAAGAAGGGATTAGCCAAAGAAAATATATGCACAACCCATGGACACAGACAACAGTATGGTGATGGGCCAGAGAGAAGTGGGGGGCAAGAACTGGGTAGAGGGGGCAAAAACTGGGTAGAGGGGGCAAAAGGGGGGAAATAGGAACATCCTATATAATAATAATAAAAGGCTAATATGGCACATTGACTGAACGGCAGAATGACCGGTTGCTATGATGCGCACTGGCCACCAGGGGGCAGACACTCAATGCAGGAGCTGCCACCTGGTGGTCAGTGCACTTCCATATGGGGAGTGCCACTCAGCCAGAAGCTGGCTCATGGCTGCAGCGCAGTGGTGGTGGCAGGAGCCTCTCCCACCTCCATGGCAGCACTAAGAATGTCCAACTAACAGTTTAGACCCGATCCCTTGGGGGCCTAGGCCTTTAGTCAGACATCCCCCGAGGGCTCCCTGGCTGCCAGAAGGATGTCTGACTGCAAGCTTAGGCCTGATCCCCCGGGGAGTGGGCCTAAGTTGACAGATGGACATCCCCCAAGGGGTCCTGGACTGTGAATGGGCGCAGGCTGGGCTGAGGGGACCCCCCCCCCCCCCAGTGCACAAATTTTTGTGCACTGGGCCTCTAGTCTATAATGATAAAAGGGTAATATGCTAATTAGACTGGACATCATTCTGTACATCCTTCTGGATGAAGCCGGGGCCAGAGGGAAGCCCGGGTCCCAGGTGCCTGGGTCTCGGGTGCCTGCGGGCGGCCTGAGCAAAGCCCTGGTCCCGGGTGCCAGAGGGAAGCTGGTGCTGGCAGCCTGGGGAAAGAAGGCCTATTCTTGTACAAATTTTGTGTATCAGGCCTCTAGTATAGCATAATGGTTAGGATTTTAGACTGTGCTGTCATAAGGACTGTGATCAAATCTGGGCCAAGATGTTTACTTTCTATGTGGTTTTAGGCAAGTTGCTTCACCTTCTGAGCCTCAGTTTCCTCATCTGTAAAATGGAAGGATAATAATACCTACGTCTGTGCGTAGTTATGAGAATTAAATGGGGAAAATGTGTGTGAGATGTCAACATAATATCCAGTACACAATATGTGCTCAAAAAATGTTAATTAAAAAAAGAAGGCACTTTGACCCTTTGCAACAGCATGGATGGACCTGGAGTATATTATGCTAAGTGAAATAAGCCAGTCAGAGAAAGACAAATACCATGTGATCTCACTGATATGTGGAATCTAATGAACAAAACAAACTGATAAACAAAATGGAACCAGAAGCGTGGACACATGGAACAGACTGGCCGGTGCCCGAGGAGAGGGTGGTGGTGGTGACTGGATAAAGAAGGTGAGGGGATGAGTTCCAGAACATATATGCATACCCCGTGGACACGGACAGTAGTTTGGTGAAGGCCAAGGGAATGAAAGGTGTGGGGGTGGGGTGGGGGTGCAAAAGGCATGGAAAAGGGGGACACCTGCAATTATGTCAACATTAAACATTATTAATTAAAAATTATAATCTAGGGAACAAGATAGAGTGGAAAGTATTGTCATAATGTAATCAAATGGTGATATCTCTGTGTTGCAGGTACTAGACACAAGGATTCTCTGGAATCTAAGGGATGCTCTGCCAACACAACACAGCATCCTCTGGCCAAAGGGTCAGCCCCTCGTCTCCTGTTGTCACAGGTCCAAGTGTCAGTGAGCCTCCGGGCCCCTGCAGAGTGTCTGCTCGCCCAGCGTAAGTACGGATCCGGTGAGGAGCCACTGACAGTGGGGCAAACTCTGACCAGGGAGCCAACAGTCTGATGGGTAGCTCGACATCTTTGGGAAGAACATGGATTCTGGAGCCAGACCAGGTTAAAATCCCAGCTCTCCCACTTAGCATCTGTGTGAATTTGGGCAAGTGATTAGCTGACTCCCTGGCATATAATAAGTGCGGTGCCAGTGCTTGCTATTAGGAAGTTCAAAAGCAAGTGAAATGAAACTATGTGTTTTAGGAACACATACATACACACCTAGGTGGCAAATCTTAGAGAAAAGCGGAGAAATGATTACTATGAGGGTCCGAGTCAGGACAGTGGTTACCTCTCTGGGAAAGGAACACACTGATGGCTTCTGGGGAGCAGGCGGGGAGGGCTGGCCTTGCTTTGTTTGTTTCTTGTCCTGGATGTTGGCTCCATAATTATTTATAATAGTGTATTTATAGTTTATGTTTTGTGTATTTTTCTCTGTGTACATATCTTTTACAGTAAAAATTTTGAAAACCTTATTTTAACAAATTTTGTTATAATGAAAGTAATTTCAATTCATTGTAAAAATTTTGAAAATATAAAACCAGCATTAAAAAAAATCACAATAGCCTGGCCAGCATGGCTCAGTGGTTGAGCATTAACCTAGGAACCAGGAGGTCACGGTTTGATTCCTGGTCAGAGCACATGCCAGGGTTGCACGCTTGATCCCCAGCAGGGGGCGTGCAGGAGACAACTGATCAATGATTCTCATCATTGATGTTTCTCTCTCTCTCTCTCTCTCTTTCTCTCTCTCTCTCTCTCTCTCTCTCTCTCTCTCCCTCCCTCTCTGATATCAATAATCCTATATAATAAAAGCCTAATATGGTAAGTGTCCAGTCGTCCAGTCGTCCATTCCATTCAACCAATCAAAGCATAATATGCCAATGATATGCTAAGGCTGTTCAACCGCTCACTATGATGTGCACTAACCACCATGGTTCAGACACTCCGACTGGTAGGTTAGCTTGCTGCTGGGGTCTGGCTGATTAGGACTGAGTGAGATGGGCCAGACACGCCCTGGAGCCCTCCCGTGGTCCCTCCCCAGCTGGCCAACCTCCCACGTCCCTCCCTGACTGATCCCTGCAGGCCAGGCCAAGGGACCCCACTGGTGCACGAATCTGAGCACCAGCCCTCTACTATGCATATAAGATCTTTGGTTAATCTCTTGCTCCCCTCACCCCTCTAAGATTCATCAGTCTGTTCCATGTTTCCATGCCTGTGCATCGATCGTCTGCCCCCTGGTGGTCAGTGCGCATCATAACTACTGGTGGAACAATCGGATGGTCACTTAGGCTTTTATATATAGAGATAGTGATGTTTTTAATATGCATAAGAATAAGACTTCAATTTCTTTTTCATATAAATATGCATTTATTTGACACAATTAAGATCATATACTATTCTTTTTAAAACCTGTTTCTTCCCATGCTGTATTTACTCACTCTTCCACCATCACCTGTTTATCTGTCCATGTCTTCTGCACCTCGATGCTAAGCTCCTTGAGACCAGGGACTGTGTTTGGATCCCCAGTGTCTAGAACACTGCCCACCACAAAATGTATTCAGATAAATGTTTGTGCAGCAAACAAAGTAGGTGAATACTTCTAAAGTTCTTCTAGAAAGTGTCCTCTATCCTTGCAATCTTTTTTTGCAGTTTGTTCAGCAAAGCCTTTTCAAAAATATTTAGGAGAGATTTATTTTATCCCACTGTCAAAATGACCATATGTTCTGAACTGGAGGTTCTGAGTTATTGTATTTTTAAAAATATATTTTATTGATTTTTTACAGAGAAGAAGGGAGAGAGATAGAGAGTCAGAAACATCGATGAGAGAGAAACATCGATCAGCCGCCTCCTGCACATCTCCTACTGGGGATGTGCCCGCAACCCAGGTACATGCCCTTGACTGGAATCGAACCTGGGACCCTCCAGTCCACAGGCCGACGCTCTATCCACTGAGCCAAACCGGTTTTGGCTGTATTTTTATTTTTTGCTCTATCTGCACCCTATCAAAGTTCAAAGATATGTTTATTTAAAACTTGTGCGTTATTGCACTAGGATTTGTTATGATTTTTTAGGCAATACAGTCTAGAGTGCGACTGTAGACCAAGCTCTGACCCTTCCTAGGTGTGTTTTATCCTTAACTTCTTTGAAGGTCCATTTTCCTTTTAGGTGGAAATGATTCTATTGGCCCAACCTGCATCACAAGGTTGTTGGTAGGGAGCAAACACAAGCATATGAAGTTGCTTTGAAGCTATTCAAATATAAGGGTGATGTAATCTTATGAAAAAAGGACCCATGACTTGATAACAGATACTGAAAACATTGGCCAAGGCCATCCATCCCATGCAAAGCTGCTTACACCAGCTGCTTTTTCTGCTGACACCCACAGTACCTTGTTGTAGGTCCTTTCGACTGCCAAGAAGTTCAGTACCAAGCATACTGCTCCGTTATTATAGAACCATTTCAATCCAGGTTTGATTTTGATGATTTCCTCTTCTTTTCATAGTGATTGCTTTTTAATTTCCATTTAATGGTCTTATTGAACATGCATCTTTTTTGTTTGCTACCCCCCAGCTTTAGGCAACCACTAATCTACTTTTTATCTCTACAGATTTGCCTATTCTGGACATTTCATATAAATGGGATCACCAATATGTGGGTTTTGGTGTCTAACTTTTTAAATCTAACACAATGTTTTCAAGGTTCATCAATGTAGTAACATGTATCAGTACATCATCCCTTTTTAAAAAAAATGTGGTAAAATATACATAGCTGAACATTTACATTTTATCCATATTTTATTTATTTTAAAATATGCTTTTTTGATTTCAGAAAGAGGAAGGGAGAGGGAGAGAGAGAGAGAAACATAAATGAGAATCATAGATTGGCTGCCTCCTGCACGCCCCCTCCTGGGATCAAGCCTGCAACCCCAGGCATGTATCCCAACCAGGAATTGAACTGTGACCTCCTGGTTCATAGGTTGACGCTCAACCACTGAGCCACACCGGCTGGGCTATCTGTTTTAAGTGTACAGTTCAGTGTCATTAATTATACTTACAGTGTTGTGCAATTATCACTACTATTTTTAAAATACTTTCACCACCCCAAACAGAAACTCTGTATCTAATAAGCAATAGTTACCAATTCTCCCCTCTCCTCAGCCCCTGATACTCAATCTACCTTCTGTCTCTCTGAATTTACCTATTCTAGATATTTCATGTAAGTGGGATCATACAGTATTTGTCCTTTTGTGTTTTGGCTTATTTCACTTAACATAATGTTTTTAATGTTCATCTATGTGTAGTATATGTCAGAACTTCATTCCATTTTATGTCTGAATAATATTCCATTGTATGTCTACGTGACATTTTGTTTATCCATTCATCTGTTGATGGACATTTGAGTGTTTTCTATTTTTGGGTTGTTATGAATAATGCTGCAATTAATATTTATGTACATATATCTGTTTGAGTGTCTGTTTCAGTTCTTTTTTTTTAAAATCCTCACCCGAGGATATGGAGAGAGAGAGAGAGAGAGAGAGAGAGAGAGAGATCTATCAATGTGAGAGAGAAACATTGATTGGTTGCCTCCCCTATGTACCCCAGTCGGAGACTGAACCTGTAACCTAGGTATGTGCCCTGATGGGGAATCTAACCTGCAACCTTTTGGTGTATGGGACGATGCTCCAACCCACTGAGCTTCTGTTTTCAATTCCTTTGGGTAAATCCTAAATGCCCAGGAGTGGAATTGCTGGGTTTTATGGTAATTCTATATTACATTTTTTGAGAACCCACCAAACGGTTTTTAAGCATGCATCTTTTGAATATATTTTAATCTCTCAAATTGTGAATAAATGAATTACATGCTCACGAGTGTGTATGGAAGGGTGGGCCTAATCATCATAAGTGAGGGTATTTCTGGTGTAAGATGTGTAAGATCGGGTTCTAAATACCAGCCCGAGCACCTGGAAGACTCTAACCCTTCCGCTTCCTTGCCAGCCCTGCTGCAGATGTGGACCTGAAATCCTCCGGCTCGCATTCTGATCACGCCTCTGAAACCTCACTGCCTGAAATCCAAAAGGATAAATACCTCAAGGAGTGTAGCCTGCTAAAGCCGCAGACAAGTGAGTGCGTCCTAGATCCTCCTCCACGTGCCTCCAAGCCCAGGGTCCGTCCAGGAGTCCGCCATCTGTTGGGCGCCATGCACCGAAGACCCACTAGGCGCCAGGCATTTGACACGCTTCATCTCTAACTCTCAGAACAACTATGCTGGGGAAAACATCGTTACACGTTCTCCAAAAATAAAATGCCTTTATATAAAGACCATAAAAGAACAGTATCAAAATGCTAAAATAATGAAGCAGATAGCCCTGGCTGGGTGGCTCAGTTGGTTGGAGCATTGTCCCATACACCAAAGGTTGCGAGTTTGCTTCCCCATCAGGGCAGATACCTAGGTTGTGGCCTCAATTCCTAGCCAGGGCACATATGGGAGGCAAGCAATCAATGTTTCTTTCTCACATCAATGTTTCTCTCTCTTTCTTTCTCTCTCTCTCAAATCAATAAAACAAATCCTTGGATAAGGATTAAAAAAAAAGAAATATATAAAGAAACCTCTTCCCCAGTGTTTTCCCAACAATATTCCCATTCTGCCCAAAAGCTGTGAAGAGTTTAATATATACACTATTCTTCCAAAAATGTGAAATGCATATGTTCGTATGCATAGATAGATGGGTGGTAGTATTCGACCATATTTTCACTAGTAGAAAATAGTATACAAACTATTTTCACTCAAAGTAAATAGATCCTGAAGCTCTTTCTGTGTCAATACATATCGATCCATGTGGCTAATAATTTCATACAGAAGGAGTCTGAGGCTGGGAGAGATTCAGTGACCACAAGCACACATGGCGAGCGAGTAGAGTGATGGGCTCAGAACCCAAACTTGGCTGCTTCCAAAGCCTTTGTTCTTTCTTGGCGACCACAGAGCCCAAGTGCTTCTCAAGCAACCATAGAGCTTTCAGGGGATCTTTTATTGTGTAAAATCCCTTTAGCAATTTTATAGAGCAAGTATAGGATGAGGAGACAAAGGCACTGAGAGGTTCAGTAAGTTGCCCGAGGTCTTGCCGCAGCCTTTCTCATTTGCATAATCACATGTACACACATGCCAGTGTCACTGTCGTGCATGCATATGCCACTGTTGCTGCCAACACCATATTCCACCCAGTTAAGTTGTCACGGCTGGCCCAGCCCTTCCCTGGTTGATGGGCATTTCCTTCTTCCTATCTGCTCATCAGCATGAAGGTTGGACCACAGGTGCTTGTAAAACTGTCTCTGAGCTTCCCAACCCATACATCACTTCCAGCCATAAAAATTGGCTTCATTTTTGGAGGAGAGGGTAAAAAGGGGGGGGGAGAGGCCTCTTAGCTTTCTCCCCACTTCCCTTCCTTTCGTGTCTAGTCCCACAGCGGCCAACCTGCCCTGATGTAGGACCAAGGAGTCCTGCATGTGGATAACGGGTGTACAGCCGGAGGGTGCCGGGGGAGTTTTCTCGACCCCTTGTCGTCCCGTTGCATTCTGGGGCTGGCAGCGGTGCTAACGGAAGGCTTTCTGATGTCCCGCAGAAGACGGGCAGCGTCCAGAGTGGACATTTTACCCGAGGCTGAGCAGCAACATCCACACCTACCACATCGGGAAGCAGTGCTTCTTCCAGGGCGTCTTCCTCGGCAACAGGAGGTCTCTGGCAGAGAGGACAGTGGACAAGTGCCTCGGGAGGAAGAAATATGGTAATGTGGCCCCCTGGGCCCTTAACTGTGCAACGCCTGAAAACACCCTGAGCCCTAACCGGTTTGGCTCAGTGGATAGAGCGTCGCCCTATGGACTGAAGGGTCCCAGGTTCGATTCCGGTCAAGGGCATGTACTTGGTTGCAGGCACATCCCCCAGTAGGGGGTGTGCAGGAGGCAGCTGATCAATGTTTCTCTCTCATGGATGTTTCTAACTCTCTTCTCTCTCCCTTTCTCTCTGTAAAAAAAATCAATTATATATATATATATATATATATATATATATATATGACTCTGCAGGCCCAGCATTTCGAGGCCACCGTGCCAGCCAGTGCAGCCAGGATGATAGGCGAGTGAAGGGGATGGTTGGCAGGCTGCACTTTTCAGCAAAGAACTCACAGCAGACGCTGATCCACATTTTTGTTTTTCTCTGAATCTCATGAAATGCTAATGTGACATTTCAGCCAGCAGATAAGTTCTCTCAGATACTTATTAATAGAAACCTTCATGGGAGTTTGAAGGAAAGCATGTATGTTTCAATTAGATGCTGTCTGTCACATGCATGTACACTGTACTTGATTTTTTCACAAGGAAAACATCCCATACACCTTAGCCTGAAGTGTGTATTACTTCAGCTTATTTAATTAAAGGTCATTGTCATGAGCATATCTGTCTATCTATCTATCTATCTATCTAATCTATCTATCTAACTTGTTCTGTGAGTTCTGTGTCTCATAATTTATTAAAGACCCTAAAGTGTTGCTGAGTACCAGCAGACCTTTTATGGCACACTCTTCTACAGAAATACCAGTGTGGGAGGCAGCCACAGCTTCAGGGATGAATAGAATCGCTGTAGCAGGAATACAAAGAGAAAGAAATAGAAAGTACTCATTTTTTTTTTGTTTTAAAATAGGCTTTTAAACTCATATCAGCAACAAATAGCTTTGAAACCCAAGGATTTTGTTTAGGTAGAGAATACATGAAAAGCCAGACTAGAGGAGATAGGAGGGTCGTCACTGATAGGGGGACGTTGAGGAGCCCAACTCCTGAGATCAAAATCTATGGGTGATTGGACATGAAAATAGCGGGGGCTTCTGCCTCAGAGTGTGGCTGGGGGAGGACCTCGAGCCTCAGAGGGAGGTGGCCTCTTCCCTGACTCTGAGCTGGAGGCAGTGAAAGCTGTGGGCAATGGATGGAGAGAAAGCCAGCCTCAGGGCTCGCCCATCCAGGAGGTGGGGAAGAATAGCTGCCTTTCGGTGCCCTGTGAAGGCTGTGGAGGTTGGGACAGAGTGAAGGAATGAGGGAATGAGAGAAAGAGAGAGAACAAGCCAGGAGAGCTCACCCTGGCATGCGGGAGGCCACGGTGTAATGCACCATGAATCATCAAGCCAGGGATCTTACAAGAATAAACTTATGCTTCACCTGATGCACTGTGGAGGGGATGGCTTCCTGAGGCTCAGACTGGATGTCACATTTTAGCAGACAACAGAAATAAATTCCAACTCTCAGAGAGGAGCAGAGATAAGGTGAGCAGCAGATACCAGTGTGGTGTGCAGACAGTAGCCCAGGACCCAAAGCCTGGAAGTCATGTAAGCCTGCTGTGCACACCCCTACTTCCCACTCCCAACTGAGATGTAGCCATAGGGTAGAACAAGGAGGACAGATTTAACTGCTTTTAAAAAATATATATTTCTTTATTGATCTCAGAGAGGAAGGGAGAAGGAGAGAGAGAAACATCAATAATGAGAGAGAATCACTGATTGGCTGCCTCCTGCACACCCCCCACTAGGGATTGAGCCCGCAACCCAGGCATGTGACCCTGGCTGGAATCGAATCTGGGACCCTTCAGTCTGCAGGCTGAGGCTCCATCCACTGAGCCAAGCCGGCCAGGGCAACTGGTTTAAATCTGAAACAACTGAGAAAAACCAAGAAGGGACCAAGTTTAGGTGTGTATTACTTAGGAATGCTCTTGGCTGCAAGTAAGAGAAAAGCCAAATTATCAGAGGCTTAAATCATAAGATATTTATTATGTGTCTAACAAGAAGCTTTGACATCTAGGTGGCCTGTATGGTCTAGTTGCCCAGTAACGTCATCAAAGATATGGGCTCATTCTGTCTTTAGGCTCTGTCATTCTTAATAGTGTTGGAGTTTGTCTTATCAAAAATGCTTATCATTTATGGTCACAAGATAGCTGTTGCCGTTCCAAGCACCATGTCTGTATTTACGACCAGAAAAAGAGGAAACTCTCTTGTTGCCGTCCCCGTTTAGGAGGAAGGAAAAGTTTTACCATGTGGTCCTTAGGAGACCTTCTTCCACTCATGTCTCACTGACCAGAACTGGGCCAGTGACGGTGTGTAGCCAAAGTGAATGGGATGCCCTGGCCGGCATGGCTCAGTGGTAGAGCGTCTGACCGCCCACAGAAGGGTCGAGAGTTCGATTATCAGTCAAAGGCACGTACCTGGGTTGCAGGTTCATTTGCCCCAGTTGGGGGTGGGGGGTGAGGGGGGCAGGGAAGCAACCAATTGATGTGTTTCTCTCACATCAGTCTCTCTTTCTCTTCCCCTAAAAATCAATGGGGAAAAAAATCCTCCAGTGAGGATTAACAATAACAAAAAAGAAGCAAGCTGTGGAAGTTTAAACATAGCGTGATATCATATATTAAAGTTTTTGTTTTTTTTTAAAGTGAATGAGCCCTGACCGGTTTGGTTCAGTGGATAGAGCATTGGCCTGCGGACTGAAGGGTCCCAGGTTTGATTCCGGTCAAGGGCATGTACCTTGGTTGTGGGCACATCCCCAGTGGGGGCTGTGCAGGAGGCAGCTGATCAATGTTTCTCTCTCATCGATGTTTCTAACTCTCTATTCCTCTCCCTTCCTCTCTGTAAAAAATCAATAAAAAATAAAAATAAAATAAAAATAAAAAGTGAATGGGAGCCTGACGGTATGGCTCAACGGTTGAGCATCCACCTATGAACCAGGAGGTCACGGTTCGATTCCTGGTCAGGGCACATGCCTGGGTGGTGGGTGCAATTCCCAGTGTGGGGCATGCAGGAGGCAGATGACAATGATTCTCTCTCATCATTGATGTTTCTCTCCCTTCCCCTCTCCCTTCCTCTCTAAAATCAATAAAAACATATTTTAAAAAAGAGAAGGAGATTATCAATATGATCCAAGTCCTAACCCCAACCCATCACTTCCCTCCTAACTCAACATTATCCTAAATTTTGTGATCATTTCGTTTCCTTTCTTCCTTTTAGGTTTAAAAATAAATAAATACTGAGGTGCATTTATTGACTATATAGAATAAAATTCCAAAACACGTATATGCTTCTCACTCCTTTTAAGAAATGGCATATTATCTTTATATTTGAAGCCTCCAATAGGCCCCTCCCTAAATACAACATCTTTCCTCCCCCTACTCCAGTGGTAACCCCGATTACCTTCATTAAAAAGGAAAACTTTTTAGTAAGGACATTTTCAAACATGTGCCAAAGTAGAGAGAAGAGCATAATGTAACCAGATGTGCCCATCACTTAGCTTCAACAATGATCAACATGTGACTAACCTTGTTTCATTTTACCCCTCTCCCCAGGAATTATTTTAAAACAAGTTCTAGACATCATATAGTTTCATCTGTAAATGTATCCGTATGTACCTCTAATAGATAAGGATTATTTTTATTAACATGACCACAATACCCTTCTCATAGCTTAGAAAAACAGCAACAATTCACTAATATCCTCAAATATTCCGTGTTCAAATATCCAATTGCTTCACAAATGCCATAATTTAAAAAATATTTATAGTTTGTCTCAATTAGGATTTAAATAAGGTTCACACTCCAAAATTAGTTGAAAAGTCTCTTTTAATATATAGGTTCCACCCTAGCTGGTTTGGCTCAGTGGATAGAGCACTGGCCTGCCAACCAAAGGGTCCTGGGTTCGATTCCAGTCAAGGGCACATGCCTTAGTTGCAGACTCCTCCCTGGCCTGGCAACCAATCAAAGTGTTTTTCTCACATTGGTATTTCTCTCTGTCTTTCACTCTCTCTAAAAATCAATGAAAAAATATCCTCTGGTGAGGATTAAGTAATATTTAGGTCCCCCTCCTTTTTTCCCTTGCAATTTATCTGGTGAGGAAACTCGTTTATCCCTAGTCTAGAGTTTGCCATAGTCAGGATTTAGCTGATTACATTCCTTGATATATTTGGCAGGTTCCTCTGTCCTGTGTATTTCTTTTTTTTTTTTTTTTCACCCTGCCGCCCCCCGCCCCCCTTCCAGCTAGATCTGTCCTGTGCATTTCTTGTAAACTGATATCTGGTTTGTCTTAGTTTGATTACTTCTTAGGTGACTGTGCAATGACTTCTTTTTTGGTTGTTAATCCTCACTCGAGGATATTTTTCCATTGATTTTTAGAGAGAGTGGAAAGGATGAGAGAGACACAGAGAGAGGAACATCGATGTGAGAGAGACACATCGATTAGTTGCCTCCTGCATGCGCCCCCACCCCGGCCAGGGATCGAGCCTGCAACTTTGACCAGAATCAAACCCCAGGCCCTTCAGTCCGAGGGCCGATGCTCTATCCACTAAGCCAAACCGACCAAGGCCTTTTAAAAAATATATATTTTTTATTGATTTCAGTTTGCTCCTTGATATGGATCTTTAATTTTAATGTGTATGTCAATTTCTACCTCCTGCACATCTTTCTCGCTAGGAGATTGGCTGGTTTACCTGAAAGCATAAACAAGCACGATGTGTTATGGATCCATCAGCGGTTGATACACAGTGGCCAGCACTTTGGGATGATACCTGTTTTTGTGGAATACTCAGAAATTATATCAGGATCCCATAATATACCTAACTAGAGGCCCGATGCACGAAATTCCTGCAAGAGTAGGCCTTCCTTCCCCCAGCTGCCAGCACAGGCTTCCCTCTGGCATCTGGGACCGGGCTTCTCTCCTGCCTAGCTCCATCTGGTCTAATTAGCATATTACCCTTTTATTATTATAGATAGTTTAAATAAGCATATGAGCTCAGAGGTGTTGTTTGGGAGATTTTCCCTAAAAGTAACATCTTATACTTGGGCACAAGCCATTGGTTCTTTTTTCTGCTTGCTGACATTATCTTGTGAAATTTAGTAGATTCGAAGTTGTCCTCAGAGCACCTGTATCATAATCAACTGAGAGTTTGTTTTAAAAAATGCTGGTTCTGGCCCAGACAGCTTGGCTCAGTGGTTGAGCGTTGACCTATGAACCAGGAGGTCAGGGCTCGACTCCCAGTCAGGGCACACGCCCAGGTTGTGGGCTCGATCCCCAGTGGAGGGCGTGCAGGAGGCACCCGATGATGGTTCTCTCTCATCATGGAGGTTTCTATCTCTCTCTCCCTCTCCCTTCCTCTCTGAAATCAATACAAATATATATATTTTTTAAATGCTGGTTCTGGGAACAATTCCAGATCTTCTGAAACAGAATTCTTAGGTTGGGATCTAGGAGGTGGCATTTTTAACAAGTTCCGTAGGGGATGCTGAGGTGTGCTAAAATGTTAGGATTACTATCCTATAGTATATGGCATTTACCACCTAATATAATGTTCTTTAACTTCCTTATATACATGTCTTATTTCCCCATCTAGATAAGATTCCCTAGGCAAAGGTTTATACCTTTGCTAGTTGGCAATCGCATTTTCCAAATTAAAAAACAGATTTGGAATGGGGGTGCTATTAGCCTCGTCCTGATTTCCAATAATAATAACAAATGCTACGTGAGCGCTTACTATGGGGCCAGATTATTCTCATTAAGTATTCATGATCACTCTGCAAAGTGGACATTTGAAGGAAACAATTTATAAAAAGGCGTAGGGAAGTTACATAAGTAGCTGGAGGGCCCGGAACTAGCAACTGCAGAACTGAATTTGCACTCCAGCACGACTGACTCCAAAGTCCCAGCCCTTCTCACCACCCCTTGCTGTCGCCTCCTCTTTACTTCTCAGTGTCCGGGTTTGGGACTCAAAAGATAGGGTCACTCCACTCTCCCTGCTTGGAACCCTCTGCGCTCAGACCCAGCAGGCACTCCACACGGGGGTGTGGTTGATGCGATTGCATTACTCTTAAGAGCTAATAAAAAATTCAGGTGAAGAGTCGTAGCAATTGAAAAGGCTTTTGAAAGAGAATGGAAAATAATTAAATTCTCCAGTAATTCCACCTATTAGAGGTGGCTTCTCTGAGTTTGGTGGAGGAATTTGGGAAAGTTGGAAGCAGTTTATCAAAAACCTTCCCTAGCTCTTCCTTTGGCTCGCCTCATAGGTACAGTTGAATGGAGTGATATCCAAACCAGCATTTAAAAGGAAGACAATGAGTCCTGTTCACTGGGTGCCTCTAGCCCTGCTTCTAATTGTAACAGCCCAGAGACCGTATTTTCTTTAATCTGCCCTTCCCCTTTGACTCAAACTGGCTTCACCCAGGGCCTTGACTCACTCACCTCCTTCTCCCTTGCTTACTCATTAAGCCTCGGGACAGTGAGGCCCTGGTCAGCTTCCACTAGTCTTAGGAACAAGGTCCTGGGCTACTGACTACAGTCAGAGTTCTCAAACTAAAGGTAATGTCTTAGCCCTCGCCGGTTTGGCTCAGCGGAAAGAGCATCGATTCCAGTCAAGGCCACGTACCTCGGTTGCAGGCTCTGGCGTTAGGAATCCAATCGATGTGCCTCTTTCACCTCAATGTTTCCCTCTCTCCCCTCCCTTCCACTCTCTCTAAAAATCAATGGAAAAATATCCTCAGGTGAAGATTAACAACAACAAATAAACTAATTCATAAAAAAAGAGAGCTGCTTAAAAAAAAAAAAAAAGATAATGTCTTGGCCTCAGTTGTTAGCTCAGCGCCCAGAAAAGCAGAACAGATCCCACTGAACAAATCCTTGCAAATTCAGAAAGAAGAACTCCATGGCTAACATCAGGACCAGATGCAACGATCAATTACCCCTAGCCTCAACCCATCAGTAGAGACCATGACCCTAACTCCTTCAGCCACCATGATTGACGGTTTTCCCCCTATATCATCCATCGCCTGGAAGCCATCGGGGAGCCAGGTCTTTGAGCATTAGCTCACTTGTGACTCTCGGGCATGGTGCCATCTCCTTAATGAATCCTTCCTTTCTTGGCTGCAAACTCCTGTTCGTGTCTTATTGGGCTTTGATGCGCACAAACGGACCACTTCAGTCCGGGGCCCGTAACATGATCCCAAGGCCAGTTCGTCTTGCGGTCCAGGCTTGTTCTCTCTTGCATCTGGTGTCAGATAGGTGGGTTGAAGTGACTATCTTGTACCAGCTGTCTCCTTTCGAGCTCAAGTGATTACTCATCTGTTACTTGTTCCCGGGTGTTGGAAGGGGCTGAGTTGGGTGTCATAGTTCTAGCTGAACAAGCAGTGTGGCTCCTCTTCACGGGGAAGGCCACCTCCTGGTGCAGCACAGCCCCAGTCCTTGAAGCAGAGGGAGGAGCAGGACTCTCGTTACCTATTTTCCCCCTGAGAGGCACGGCCCCAAAGACAGTTGCTTCTCAAGCTTTATAGGATTCAGGGACTCAAAGGGCACTCATGCTCAGGGATGAAAGAGTTAAGTTAGAGTTTTTTAAAAAATGTCTATTTTTATTGATTTCAGAGAGGAAAGGAGAGGGAGAGATGGAAACATCAACGATGAGAGAATCATTGATCAGCAGCCTCCTACATACCCCACACGGGGGATCAAGCCCGAAACCCGGGCATGTTCCCTGACCGGGAATTGAACTGTGACCTCCTGGTTCCTAGGTTGATGCTCAACCACTGAGTTATGCCGGCCGGGCTAAGCCAGAGTTTTTGCTCCTTGTGCAGAGATGTCTCAGATTCATCATTCATTTTAATCCAAATCTTAGCTATTCTTCTTTCCCAGGGTGAGGTAATCATAACACCTTTCAGAAAATGTCCCCAACGTAGGCTCACACTTTTGTCATCTTCTCAAGGGAAGCCAATTATAAACAGAACTTTAAGACACCTGTATGCACCTCACAATAAAGCACTACATTATCTTATTTCCATCCTCACAGCAATCCTTAAAGCAAATCTGTAGATCATTTTTAGGCATTTTAATGATTTTTTTTAAAAACATCGTTCACAGATATTGATTCCAGGAATGGAATCCCAACGTTAACTCCAGGAGATAATCCATATATGTACCCAGAACAGAGTAAGGACTTCTACAAAGTAGGAGCAACTCTCCCACCAGTGAATTTTTCATTGTAAGTATATGCTAATACCAGGGTTATTTAGTTAAATTGAAAGGACTTGTATCTTTCTTTACTACATATAAATTCCATTTTAAAAAGGGTAGATCACAACAACACATGGTTGGTGAAAATTCCTAAAAATGTCCATATGTAGTTCATTAATGTATGCACACATATGAGTATATAATTAAAATTATACGTAGGATCTTTACTACAAAAAGTGGTTGTTAATTTTACTCCTATTATTATTACCACAACTTTTAAGACTTTTCTATTTTCATACGGAATTAGGTTTTTGATTAGTGATTACTAGTTGGGTTCACTTATACTTGGAACTAAACTTAGACCGAAGTGACTAAGGAAAAAGGGAGGGTCATTAAATTAAAAGAAAAATAGTTGGTGTATTACATTAAAAATACCAATTAAAAATTAACTGTTTGATTTAATGATGTTCATTAAAAATGATAAAATAGGCATTACGGCCCTTACAGTTTTGAAGCCCATAGATGACAATTAAAATGAGAAAATAAGACATCTTATTGAACGCAATGATGTATTGACCTCTTTGCTGTAGATGCAAGTCAATTTTATGACCACCTTTCTGTTTTTCAGAGTGCCTTATGAAAAGAAACTTGATACATTTATTCCACTTGAGCCTCTTCCACGAATTCCCAAGTGAGTTCTCCCACCATGTTTTTGTTACTATCCTACTAGAGGCCTGGTGCACAAAATTCGTGCACTTGGTGGGGGGCAGGTCCCTCAACCTGGCCTGCGCCCTCTCATAGTCTGGGAGCCCTTGGGGGATGTCTGACTGATGGCTTAGAGGAGCGGGCCTAAGCCGTCAGTCGGACATCCTTAGTGCTGCCACGGAGGCAGGAGAGGCTCCCACCACTGCCACTGTGCTTGCTAGCCATGAGCCTGGCTTCTGCTGAGCAGCGCTCCCCCTGTGGGAGCGCACTGACACCAGGGGCAGCTCCTGCATTGAGCTCCTGCCCCCTGGTGGTCAGTGCACATCATAGTAAGCGGTTGAGCGGCCTTAGCATTCTTAGCATATCATTAGCATATTACGCTTTGATTGGTTGAATGAATGACCAGACGACCAGACACTTAGCATATTAGGCTTTTATTATATAGGATCTTTATGAAAATATCAATTATTATTTTCTCTTATGGAGGAACTCATAGACACCCAACACACAGGGACCTTTTGAATCCCAGCAGGTAGGCAGGGCAGTTTGTATAGAGGGTTGTTGGTGAGACACTTGGAGGCAAGTCTCTGAGGATTCTGACAGCTGGGTTGCTCACAAGATATGATTGACAAACTGCCAGATGCCAGGTGGTGTGCTAGGTATGCACTATGTGTGTGGGGGGGCGTAAATGGAGCAAAAAGACAAGGTCCCTGATTTCTGAAACATAAGAGATTGTTGGCAAAGAAAGACACATGCTTAAATGAGTGCAGCCAGGGAGGATGGTTAGAGTGTGAAAAGGCAGAGAGGAAGCCATTGGAGTATTCCTGTATTTGAATAAAGTATCATTCATCTGTTCTCATATTTTGGCTTAGTTCCATTCTGAACTTTATTTACTGAAGTAAGGTTCCAACCTAGAAAGAGTGTCAGTATATTACTTTTTGTTCTGCTATTTTTACTTGAGCTTCTATTATTTGGGTTTGTCTTTAAATGATAGCTTTAAATGATAACCTTCATGCCCAATATTGTCTACATCAAGCATGTCAAACTCAAAGACTAACACGGGCCAAATAAACAAGGTTTAAGTTTATGTGGGCTGCAAAAAAAATCCAAAAGCTTCAGTTTTCAAAGAAACGTAGGTTTATTTCGATAGAGACATGCTCAATACAAAGGGCTGAAATAAATGAGTCATCGTTAACATAAAGTAATAGTACATTTTAATAAAAATTAATGTTTTTTCTTGAACATTAACTTACCAGACACTGAATAACTGCACAAATTAATAAGCGTAACACAAATAAACCTATTTTTCTTGTTCTCTGAAAGCGAAATATTTCCTGTTGCGCACACCAAACAAGTCAGTAAAGACTAATGACGTGGCCATCGACTGCTAAAATATTTGCTGCTAGCATTAGTGGAGAGAAATGGTGCGCCTGTGAGTAAGGCACGTAAAGGAAATGAATGCAACACGGTTATAGTAATTGGTCATTAGTGAACATTGTAGTTCGTTATTAATAATTATGTAGAACAGGATACTGTAAAAATTAAGTTATGAAATTTTTATTAAAACGTTTCTTACATATCGTTGTATTGGCTGGGCTGCAAAAATATTCATTGTGGGCCACATGTGGCCTTCGGGCTGCGAGTTTGACATGCTTTGGTCTACATGGTACTTCTCTTTCTCCTTGCAGGCTCTTCCCTACCCTCAACAGGTTTATTAGGGCTTTCCCCCACCCATGGTGCATTTCTCCTTAATACAGCAGTTCTCAACCTGTGGGTCCCGACCCCTTTGGCGGTCTAACGACCCTTTCACAGGCATCACCTAAGACCATCCTGCATATCAGATATTTACATTATGATTCATAACAGTAGCAACATTACGTTATGAAGTAGCAACGAAAATAATTTTATGGTTGGCTCACAACATGAGGAACTGTATTTAAAGGGCCAGAAGGTTGAGAACCACTGCCTTAAAAGAATGGAAGTTCTAGCTACCAAAACATAAAAACATTCTTAGTCTCACTGCCTGATAGAGCTGCACACACAGCCCAGCCCAGCATATGTAATTTCAAATCTCAACAGATCTGGGAGGACCCTGGGTGTTTGCATTAGCTGAAGTCCCGGCAGAAAACAGAAGGCACACTCAGCTGGGAATCTGAAGGCAGTTTAATGAAGGAAGTGTTTACAGATGTGTGAGCAAGTTGTGAGAACTCACATGGGAGGGTGAAGCACCCAGGGGCTCCTGGCAGTGGGAAGCTTTTACTACTCCTAAGCTGAGTAGCAAGAGGAGGAATCATGGTTTGCAGAGCAGTGGGAGTAGAGGGGCTGTTCAGAAGGAGTTGTGGCAGTGGAGAATGTGGCCGCTGCCAGAACTGGGGTACCTCAGGAGACAGGGCAGGAACTAGGTAAGAAACATCCCACCCTGTCTCCTCACCTTCTCATCTTTGGTTGATGCCTCTCATTAGCCAAGCCCAACTCAGAGAGGAGTCAAGCTAATGACAGCTGCAGGGGTCAGCTTCCCGGACAGAGAAGGGCAGAAGAAGAAAGATCTGGGTGTGGGGCAGGGGCAAATGGTGAACAATTGGCATGGTGTTTTATGTTGACACTGATCTTCTAAATTGGAGGCCTTCTTACTGACCATGCTTATAAATTTTGCATCAGACAAATGCAAACTCAGGGTGTTGTTTTCTCCTTACAGCTTGCCTTTCTGGGTAAAGGAGAAGGCCAACATGCTGAAGAATGAGATAAGAGAAGTTAAGGAGCTGGACAGTTGGCAGTCATCGATCCCTTTGATACAGAGTTTGTACGCTACTGGTGGGTTAAAAAACCTTCAAAAAAATAGCATAAAAACTGGAGGCCAGCCCAGAAGAGCAGGCTTTTGAGCGGCTTCTCCGTGGAGAGGAGAAAAGGCAGAGCCTCTTCCAGAGTGGATGGTGTCTTTTGCCCCAGGTGGTCCCAGGTGGCCCCACTTCATGGGTTGAGTGTGTTGGTTGAGAACTCTTAGTCTCTTTGTTTGTTGTTAATCCTCACCCAGGGATATTTTTTCCATGGATATTTAGAGAGTGGAAGGCATGGGGAGAAACAAAGAGAGAGAAAGATGGATGTGAGAGAGACACATTGATTGGTTGCCTCCCATATGAACCCCGACTAGGGCCAGGAATCGAGCCTGCAGTGAGGTACGTGCCTTTGACCAGAATCAAACCTGGACCCTTTAGTCCACGGGCCAACGCTCTATCCACCGAGCCAAACCGGCTAGGGCAGAGAATTCAGTCTTTTAATGGAACACAACCTTTAATTCCATGCCTCTGTCCACAGGTACTTTGGACCTTCCAAGACATTCCTGAGAGAAACAGGCCCAGAGAGCATGCACCGGGCCCTCTGGGGAGCTTCTTCCAGTTGATTGCATCTGTCTGTGTGGCTGTTCTCAATCAAATGTCTGACTTTGATAAGGAATCACTGTGCCTTGCCTTTTTTAACTTTATATTTTGAAAACTTTTAAACTTACAGAAAAATTGCGAGAATCTACAAATACCTACATATCCTTCACCTAGATTCTATGAGTGTTGACATCCGTTCAAATTTGTATGCATGCTCTCTCTCATATTATTGCTATTATTATTTTGCTGAATTATTCTAGAGTGAGTGGCAGACATCATAACCCTTTGCCCCGCCACACCTGTAAACTTTAGTATATATCTCCTATGGTCAAGGATATTCTCCAACAACCACAATGCAAATATCAAATTCAGAGAATTTTAACATTGATACAATACCCCCACTGTACAGTCAATACTCAGTTTTATTCCGTTTAATTTTCTAAGGATGCCCTCAAATTGATGGTAAGATGCAGACATGTGAGCTTTCATTAATGTTGGTAAAATTATTTTTATTTCATTAATTCCTTTTGCGATTTTCTCTATTATCCACTCAATACATGTCAGAAAAAGGTGAAGGCTGGCTCTCCATCAGGTAATTAATGCTGGTACTCCATTCCCCACTTCCGTATTGTCTGCCTACACAGCCAAGCAGGATGACAGCTCAGTGAGCACCAGCCATGAGTCTTAGGATCTCTCATCAATCAGGCAAGAAGCAAACATTTGGAGGAGGTGGATACAAAAGCCACCCCTGTACAGCCAGGCTGTGACTCTCAGCAGTCAGACCAATGACTCAGCATTTTCATAGCCAATCTCCTTCTCCGCTGAGACCCCACTGGTTGGCTACTGAAAGGTACAAATCTGACCTCCCTAAAACCTTAGAGTGGAAAGAGAGAATTTGGCCCATGCAGAGACTCAGAGTGCCCAAGACATGAGACACAATTTCTTTTCCTGTCAAACATTGTCTTCATGTTCTTGGTGGAAGCTGGGTATCCCTCTCCCCACTGAGTGCTGGGGGCTGGGTCCTTATGATATCTCAAGAAGGAATATTTTCTGAGACTTGCACAGGAGGATGAGTGATCTTTATTTGCATGGAATTACATCTCTAGGTTTGCGAAGTCCCATTTCCCTTAAACCATCCTGGAAGATGGGCAGCTGGGGATTCAGCAGAGCTAAGAGTGAAGCCAGTGTCCAGAGTTTCCGTTCCATGGTAGAACTGGGTCCGGTGTAGCATTAGGCTAATTGTTGTCCTTAGTTCATTATGTGGGGTCCACATGGCTGTGGGCAAATGCAGGTGCGAGAGAGTCCTGCAGGCCAGGTGTCAGGCCTGAGCAAGCAAGAGAGCAAGAGCAACAAGAGAGGGAATTCCTTAGTTTAGGTGCTTATGTACCTCAAATCTTCCTGCACTTGCAGTGGCCATGTCTACTCTGGCCACTGACCCGTTCCCAGGTGTGATGGACAGGCAAGTACCTTCCCTAGGTCACCCAGACTTTTCTGGGCATGCATCTGTATTGCAGCTGTCTGGCAAAGCTGCACAAATGGCATTCCCATAAAATTTGCCCTTCCCTTCGCTCCTTTCCAGTTATTTAATAACCTGGTTCATTCCAACAGTGTCATTCAGACCCAGCCAAAGCTATGAGGCAGGCTTAGAGCACGGCACATTCATGCTCTTGTCATACATGCCTTTAGACAATGAGCATAAAACACGTGGCTACTGCCAGCAACTGCACCTGACCCCCCTCAGGTTAACATCAGCGTATCTCTGTGCTGATTCTCTTACCCCGGGACACAAGGCCCACCCCGCTCCCCAACAAAACCCAGGAAAGAAAATAAAACGAAATAATGTAGAAACAGGAAAAAAAGAGATTGCCAACAAATTTTTCTCAAAGACATCGACTTCTGTAAAAACTAATATTTGTGCCCTTCTGTTACTTAAAGTTTAAGTATGTCAGCTGTAGCGTCCTGTGTGGGTGGATAATGGAGAACACAACCTACTAGTAGATGAACACGAAGGTTCTGCAGGATACTCAGATGGGATTATCCACGTAGAACAGGAAACTGCTTGAGGGCAGGAGTCCCACACTGGAAAGGGATTAAGAAAAACAACCAAAATACAGTTTCAGAAGATTTGTAGTCGTCTTTACATTTCCAAGAGGTCTATATAATTCCTAGGTGTTGCTCTAAGCCGGAGTAGATATGATTTAAACATGTTATCAAATGCATACATTTCTGAAGTTGCAGGGCCACATTCCATCCCCTGGAAATCAGGGCAATTTTTACTGGATTTGTGAATTTCTGTGGGCACTTACTTCTCCGTGGCCAGGCCTTCCTCCATGACACTCCTGACCGCTGACAGGTGAAGAGCTCCATCACTCACCCTCACGCACATGTATGTGCTCACCCGTGGCTGTTTTGAGGAGACTAAGTGTGAGAATAAACAAGTCATCTTTTCTGTCAAAGAACAGTTTAGACAGCCGCCATTTTGGACTGCGTGACTTGCAGCTCCCCTGGGGGCCAACCCCTCCCTTTGAATTAGCCAATCACGAAAGACTGTGAGCCTGAGCTCCAATCAAGAGTGAGGGACAGGTTGTGTGTGTCAGGATTCCTAAAAGAGAACAAGGGCAGATAGAGAAACGAGATCCCGTGTCCTGCCTTGCTGCACGCCCTCCTGCAGGAGTAAAGGTAGAGAAGCCTAAAAGAGAACAAGGGCAGATAGAGAAACGAGATCCCTTGTCCTGCCTTTCCCACCCTATGTGATTGGGGGACAATCTGCCTTGCTGCCTGGCTCCTGAGTATGCTTTGTGTTCTACCAGGACCTCTGAATTTGGGGACTCGCCTTATTTCTTACAATTTGGGGGCTTGTCCGGGATACCATTGGTCGTCATGGGGCAAATTGGACCCCTCTTCTGAGGAAGAGTGCTCCGCTGCCAAGTTGCGGTGGCCTTGGTGAGGAGGGACAGCCATTACCCCTGGGCTGACTACAAGCTTGGGATCGAGAGTCAGCCAGCAACGCAGGAAGGGCCCAAGCAAGAACTGCGGCAGTCAGGTAACCTCATGCATGAGCCAAGGTGGGAAATTGGACTGAGTACTACTGTGGTGATTGTGTATCCTTGGAGGTCAGGTATATGTGACTGGGATGTGTGTTGGACATAAAGTGAGTGTGGAGTTCTGATCTGTGGTTCCATTCTCCTGTGAGGGAAGTGGCCAGAGGGAGACGAAGATGATCTTGGGGAGTATGAGAAACCTCCAACATAGGAGGTTGAGTACAAAATCACAAAGGACCTACCGAGGATGGGAAGCAAAAATTCTAGGCCTAGGGAATACATTCCTCTGAAATAGTCCATTGGGAGAATGCCGAGATTCTGGGAAGGGGCAGTTCCTGAACCAGGGACAGAAGAGATTGCTCTGCTTTAGTGGTTCTTAATGCAGGGGATTCTGTGGTGTAAACTTTTAGTGTGTTGTGTGTGCCTGTGTAAGAATTTTTCTGTTGATGTTTTATGTCTCTTCATTGTTTGTTTAATTTGTTTAAAGATGGGGCAAGTCCCGCTTTGGGGAAGCCCAGTTATGCATGGTTAGGCTGAACACGTGACAGAGATTGCAGAATGTCCCATCAGCTGCCAAGAATCGTTAATCTTGGGGACTCTTCCTGCTCTCCCACTCAGGGTGTTAGCCACCAGAAACTCTTAGCTAGTGAGATTTCTGTCTATGTGTCTGTAATGTAATGTTGGCTTTCTATCTTTTAGTGACTTTATTCGCTCTTTCCTGGTTTATGAATATGGGAAAGTAAGCTATGCAGGCTGGGTTGGGCAACAAGGTTAATGCTTCCATGATAATAGGCAGTTCTTGAATGAGGATGGAACGCATTCCAAGGGTGACTCCCAGGTCCCGGGGCGTACGACTCCCAGCCAGGTTGGTATGTCCTTTCTTTGAACAGAAAGGGCAATCATAGTTAACAGTATAATTAATACTTCCCATAACCATAACTAGTCATCAATGTTCTGTTTTTCCCCATAACACTGGGAGGAACAGATCTGTAGAAGTACCCTCTAGCAGTAAAGTAGGGGCAGTCCTGTTGTTTTTTTTTAAATATGTTTTATTGATTTTTTTACAGAGAGGAAGGGAGAGGGATAGAGAGTTAGAAACATCGATGAGAGAGAAACATCGATTCAGCTGCTTCCTGCACACTCCCTACTGGGTATGTGCCCGCAACCAAGGTACATGCCCTTGACCAGAATCGAACCCGGGACCCTTCAGTCCGCAGGCCGACGCTCTATCCACTGAGCCAAACCGGTTAGGCGGCAGTCCTGTTTTTATAGAGAAAAATAAAATAGTACTTTCACACTGAGTTATCCCTCTTACAAAATTGGTCAAGAAAATGCTTTAGGTAATAATTGGCTTTAAAATCTTATAGTTGTTAAGATATAATAAATAGATGTAACTAGAATGAGGGACTTACGATAAAGCTTTTCAGTAATAATTATAAATAATGTTAATAATAAAAGTCCAGTCACTCAAGAAGAGATTGACTGTGCTCTCGGTTGGAGGAAAGGGCCAGTCATCCTTTTCCCTGTAAAAGTAGAGAAGCCTAAAAGAGAACAAGGGCAGACAGAGAAATGAGATCCCTTGTCCTGCCTTTCCCTCCCTATGCGACCGGGGGACAATCTAAGGGAACATCCAAGATTTACAATCCCAGCCTCCCCCTCAGGAGGAGGGCTGTCCTGATAAGGCTCCAACCAGCCCTGAGGCCTCTGCACCACCAGGAACCAGCTTTTCTAGGTTGTAAAAGGAGTTGGAGTCGTGTAAAAAAACAACACAAAACAGAGTTAAAACCTCTGCTGGAAGACCCATGTGGCCTAGCTGACCAGCTAGACCCAGTTTTGGGCCCACAAGTGTATACATAGATCCGAGTCAATGTCTATCTTGGGAATGCTATTCTCAGGAAAAGAAGGGGGAGTGATTTGAAGGTCGGGTATGTCTATCTGGGAAAGGGAGCATATGGGTCACGGGAAAAAGGAAGGGACCCCTCACTGAGCCTTTAGATCCCAAGGCCACATTCTCACCCCCTTCCCAAAGAACATTTCTTTCCTTAACAGTCCGGCTACTATCAGAAGCTGAACTCATCACCCAAACCTTAGCATGTTATCTCTAAGGAAAAATGTGGCAGTTTTGAATCCAGGCAGCTAGAGGTCTGGGAACTGGCTGCGGGGCCTGCTCCCTTCTCCCCCTGCCCTTTTCTCCAGCCTCATAGGCATATACATAATTTTCCGAAGTCTTTGATAACTTAAGGCTTTGTAGCATTGCTGGGTTAAATGATAAACATCTAAATATTTTGAAATAACAGGATACTGAAACATTAGTTAGTCTGAATTTGCCTCTTAGGGAAAATATAGAGGATGGATTTGAATCTATTAATGAATAAATCTTGTATTTTATTTGAAACTAGAGGCCCGGTGCACAAAATTTGTGCACTGGTAGGATCCCTAGGCCTGGCTGGCAATTAGGACCGATCTGTGGGGTGACCGGCTGGGAGATTGGGGGCACCCGCCTTGGCTGGCCTGGTGCTGCCTGTTCACCAGCCCCACCCCCTGCTGCCACTGCTGGTCGCCTCCCTGTGCGGGGTGACCGGTGGGGCAATCTGGGGGGCCCTCACTGGCACCCGCCTTGGCTGGCCTGAGGCCTGAGGGCTGGGGGAAGCTCCTGCATTGAGTGTTTGCCCCCTGGTGGTCAGTGTGCATCATAGTGACCTGTCGTTCTGCCATTTGGTCAATTTGCATATTAGGCTTTTATTATGTAGGACTAGAGGCATGATGCATGAAATTTGTGCAAGAAGCTCGTCCCTTGAAGCCCCAGCTGGCCCTCGCAGCCCTGGCTGCCTCAGCTGGCCCTCATATCCCCGGCTTTGTCCAGAAGGTCATCTGGAAGGTCGACTAGACAGTCATTCTGTTGTTTGGTCTAATTAGCATCTTAGTGCTTTATTATATAGGATATCTCTTAAAATGTGAATGTATTGCTAATCTGAGGAATATTAATTACTTACATGCCACCTAAAAATTAAGTTTTTAAGGGTTAAGAATTCTAAAATTATGGTTTTGGTATAATAGAGAAAGCATGAGGCATGAAAATACATTTTGAAGGAGAAAGAAAGTGGTTTCTAAAGCTTGTTATTTAATGTGTGTAAAAAAAATGTTGAAAAGAAATTGCATAAATAATACAGGCCAATAAGCGAGGATAAGTAGAATAGGGAAATTGAAATAGTTAAACAGCAATTTGGAGCCATCTAGTAAATCCTATCTTCCCTAAACCAAGGACACTTAAGAGTAAATGATTTGCATTTTGCCTCCCTAAACAGAGAGTAAATAGCTTATATCAATGTACTCAGGGAGACTGATAGCAGAAATCCAATTAGTGTCATTTGCTGACTGCACCCAAGGACAAATGAAGTTAGAAAATAAACCTTATTTTGGTTAGTCCTTTTCTGAAGCAAAAGTTCTATAAATTATTATATGTTATATTAATCAGATATTTTTTAAAAAGTAAGCTTAATTGGGGGAACTGGAGTTTTACTAGCTTATGTTTGTGTTTAATACCCTCTGTCACTTTGAATGCTATATAATCTTTTGGTAGAATGGGTTTGACAATCTTCCTAGGGTTTAAATTTTAATCAAAGTTTTTTTGTTTTTTTTTTACCTAGAGTTGGCTGCAGTTGATTCCCGTGGGCTCCGGAGTGACTCAACATCTTCCTACAGTGGAAACTAAGGACCAAATTTCTTAAGAACTATGTACTAGGTATCTCTTCTACTTTAATCTCTCTCAGGTTCAAAGGCCTCCTGACCCAAAGCCCTCTTCTTGAGTTTCCGTTTCATCACCATCGACCAGAAGACTATATTTGTTCTAATCAAGACTTGGAAGGGAAGCAAGTTGGAACCCTCCTGGAAAGGACCCTACCTGTCTTGCTTACCACAGAGACTGCTGTTTGGACTGTAGAGTGAGGTTGGACCCATCACACACGGGTTAAGGGCGAGCACAACTCAACTTGAACGGCCATACCAGGACATATCCCCTTGAAATTGATTCTAAAAACTGTGAGCTGTCTTAATAACCATCATGTACTGAGTTCTATTTGCTTTAGGGATCTGGCAAATTGCAGGGGCTTACAATGTGGGCTGGAGAAAGGTGTACAATCTGAATCGTGCTTACCCAGTTAAATTAATGGTTATAGATAACTTGAATGACTTGAATATTTCAGCTCTTAGGTCAAAAGATTGGCTAGGACTAGACTTAGGAATAGATGTCACAGGACAAGACCCCCTAGACCAGTGGTCGGCAAACTGTGGCTTGCGAGCCACATGTGGCTCTTTGGCCCCTTGAGTATGGCTCTTCCACAAAATACCATGTGCGGGCGCGCACATACAGTGCGATTGAAACTTCGTGGCCCATGCGCAGAAGTCGGTATTTTGTGGGAGAGCCACACTCAAGGGGCCAAAGAGCCGCATGTGGCTCGCGAGCCGCAGTTTGCCGACCACTGCCCTAGACCACTGCCACCGCCAAACAAATAGAAGTAGGATATAAGGGAACGAATGCCTGGGTGGAATGGATTAAATATTCTGTATGTGCCCTAAATAAAAGTGACTGTTATGCTTGCGTGGCAGGAAGGCTAGAGGCCCAAGTGGTCCCATTTCCACTCGGATGGACCTCAGACAGTAATGGGATGGAATATGTGGTTGCCTTGTACCAGGAGGAAACTGCCTGGGGAAATGCTTCCTGTAAGACTCTTGCCCTGTTGTTCCCATTCAACAGAGGTAAAGAGCAAGGACCCCCAAAACGATTCGGTCCTCATCCTCCCACGTAAACTATAACTCCTGCCTCTCAAGGGGGTGGGGGGTGTGCGGGGGGAACAGTATTCGGAGTTTATGAGAAATTTATCCAGATGTGTAAATAGCCAAGTATCCTCAGAAGCCAATCATGCTGCACTGTCGATACCCCGTGCTGATGTCTGATGGTGTTATGGGGGACCCTTACTTGTGGCTTTGCCCAGCAAATGGAGTGGAACTTGTGCTCTGATACAATTGGCTATCCCTTTCACTTTGATATATCGTAAACCTTTTTCAATGGACAGACAGACTAGGAAGAGGAGAGAGTCCAGGAGGCTCCTTTGATCCCCATATATACACAGATTCCATTGGGTTTCCAGGAGGAGTGCCAAAGGAGTTTGAGGCTAGAAATCAGATCACTGCAGGATTTGAATCTGTCCTGTTCTGGTGGCCACTGTAAACAAGAATGTGATTGGATTAATTATATTTACTACTAGAGGCCCGGTGCACAAATTCATGCACCAGTGGGGTCTCTCGGCCTGGCCTGTGGGATTGGGCTGAAACAGGCTCTCCAACATCCCCTGAGGGGTCCCGGATTGGGAGAGGGTGCAGGCCAGGCCGAGGGACCCCACTGGTGCACGATTGGGGCCATGGAGGGATGGGGGAGGTTGGCCAGGCAGGGAGGGACCGCAGGAGGGCTCCAGGGTGTGTCCCGCCCGTCTCACTCAGTCCCAATCAGCTGGACCCCAGCAACAAGCTACCCTACCGGTCAGAGTGTCTGCCCCCTGGTGGTCAATGCATGTCATAGTAGTGGTTGAGTGGCCTTAGCATATCATTAGTATATTATGCTTTGATTGGTTGAATGGATGACCGGACACTTAACATGTTAGGGTTTTATTATCTACAATAATAAAAGCATAATATGCTAATTAGACCAGACGTCTTTCCAGATGTCCTTCTGGATGACCTTCCAGACAAAGCTGGGGCTGCGAGGGAAGGCCGGATCCCGGGTGCCAGAGGGAAGCCAGTGCCGGCAGCCTGGGGAAGGAAAGCCTACTCTTGCATGAATTTTGTGCTTCGGGCCTCTAGTATAGGCTTGTTACTATACTTGAGACACGGTTAAAGGCATAGCTGGACAGCTAGATGCCACCAGCAGGGTGACCTGGGAGAATAGGTTGGCCTTGGATCTGATTCTGGCAGAAAACGAAGGAATATGTGTAATGTTGGGGGTCAGTGTTATATATTCATCTTGACAACACAGCAAACGGACTATCACTGAGGCCCCACAGGCAATGGCAGCTTTAGGCTGACGAGGGAGCTGGAGCTTGGGATTGAGGATCTTTTCTCTGATTCACTAGAGCCGTGGTTGGCAAACTGCGGCTCGCGAGCCACATGCAGCTCTTTGGCCCCTTGAGTGTGGCTCTTCCACAAAATGCCATGTGCGGGCGCGCACGTACAGTGCGATTGAAACTTCGTGGCCCATGTGCAGAAGTTGGTATTTTGTGGAAGAGCCACACTCAAGGGGCCAAAACAGCCACATGTGGCTTGCGAGCCGCAGTTTGCCAATCACTGCACTAGAGCAATGATTTGGAAAGTGGAAGGGAGTGATGGTATCCACATTCACCCCTGTGATTAGGAGTTACAGTGATGGGATATTACATCATCCCATGTATTATCCAAAGGTTAATTGAAACTGCATTGACCAAACAGCAACTTAGTCTTCTCCTACACTGTAGAACAGAGGTCCTCAAACTTTTAAAACAGGGGGCCAGTTCACTGTCCCTCAGACCGTTGGAGGGCCGGACTATAGTTTAAAAAAAAACTATGAACAAATTCCTATGCACACTGCGGTGGCAAAAACACCTGGCGGGCCGGATAAATGTTTTCGGCGGGCCGTAGTTTGAGGACGCCTGCTGTAGAGCATGAAAGTCAATGAATGTTAGGTGAGTTTGAAGAAAAGAGTTTAAATAAAGAAAAGGGGGAGTTGCAAGAATAAACAAGTCATCTTTTCTGTCAAAGAACAGTTTAGACAGCTGCCATTTTGGCCGCATGACTTGCAGCTCCATTGGGGGCCACCATCTTGAAACGGCAAAGGCCAACCCCTCCCTTTGAATTAGCCAATCGAGAAAGACTGTGCGCCTGAGCTGCAATCAAGAGTGAGGAACAGGTCACATGCGTCAGGATTAAAAAGCGGAGCAGACCGCCTGCTCCGTGTGCACGTGCTCCCAGACCACGTGCTGCACACCCTCCTGCAGGAGTGAAGGTGTTTGCCTTGCTGCCTGGCTCCTGAGTATGCTTTGTGTTCTACCAGGACCCCTGGATTGGGGGCTCGCCTTTTTTCTTACACTAAGGCACAAAGGCCAAATGGGAAAAATATGTTATAGCTGTTCCAACCCTTTCTTCTCCTTTTTAAAAATCCTCACCCAAAGATACTTCTTTATTGATTTGAGAGATGTGAGAGAGAAGCATCAGTTGCCTCCCATATGCAACCCAACTGGGGATTGAATTGGCAACCTGGGTATGTGCCCTGACCAGGAATCAAACCCATGACCTTTTGGTACATGGGATGACACTCCAACCAACTCAGTCACACTGCCCAGGGCCCAGCCCTTTCTTCTATCTCGGCACAAAGAGGTTGAACTTCATGGATACGAAGATCCCCTTCATCTCACTTTAGGTTCTTTGATAAATAATAATGTGTGTGCACAGGTGTGTTCATTTTTACTTTATTCAACGGAAGTTTGGAGGTTTAATAAAAACAACCTTTATAGGACATTGGCAAGTAAATTCATTAGAATACTTACATTGCACATAAGGTATTCTACTTTCAGATCCTGAGAAAAATGAAAAAAAAAATGGCCTCTGTAGATTAGAGGGAAAATTGTTATACAGCTAGTGGCACCAAAGTCCAAAAAGCTAAAAGAAGACAATTCCAAGACTGATTCTATAGTCTCTGCCAACTACATTTTCAAAATATTAAGTAATTAGGGAATTAAACTTTTAAAATTCCACAAATGACTTAGGGATATTCTGCATGAGTCCATTGTCAATAGTTCTAGTTTCAGGTATTCAGTTTAGTTAGACTGTTTCCTTCTGCTCTTAGGTGTTTGGCCAGGTAGCTCAGTTAGAGCATTGTCCTGGTACACCAAGGTTGGGGGTTCAATCCCCAGTTAGGGCACATGCAAGAAACAATCAATGAATGCATCAATAAGTGGAACAACAAATCTCTCTCTCTCTCTAAAAACCAATTTAAAAAAGCAGGTAGGTAAACGCCTTGTTTATAGGATTTGGGTCGGTGAAGTATTTTAGCGTTGGATACTTTAAGATCATGGCAGTGGCTTACAGAGTTCCTTTCCTGGCTGGACAATCAGGAGGGAGTGATACCTCGGCAATGTGCCAGACACGGGTGGTGCACCTTTAAGGGGGATACTGGCCAAGTTCCCAGTGGGCTCTGGGAAAGGATGTGGGAGCCTCTTTGAGATGCCTGGTGTCCTTTCCATGTTGGGAAACTCCAGGAGGGGTTATAGCCTGACCTCACACTGCGGGAGGGGGAGTCACTGGCTTGAGGAGCCAACACCTG